CCTCCTTCTTCTTCTTCTCTCTCTCTCTCTCTCTCTCTCTCTCTCTCTCTCTCTCTCTCTTCCTCCCTCTCTCCCTTTCTTCCTACCTCCCATGACACTGTGCAGGAACAGGGTAAGGAGCAGCATAACTGTGCTGGATGACCTGATGAGGGCCTGTGTTATCTCATTGAGTCTGCCCAGCAGGCCTCCTATCACTAACTACCCCATTTCACAGATGAAAACACTGAGGCTGAGGACTGTCAACAGTAAGGGACAGAGCCAATATTGCATTTTTCGCTTCACTGCAGAGCTCTCTTGCCCCCAAATGATACAAATGCAGCAACAGGACGGTCTGCAGCAATGCTGAGGATGTTGAAAATATTAGAATCCACCCACATACCCATCTTTTGGGGTTGATTAAATAAATCATAGCCCAGCCCTTAGAAAGGAAAGCTGTGCAGACGCTGAAGCTATCCCAACATATGCAGGAGCAAAAAGGCCATGTATAGACCAGAAAGCTCCATCTTGTTACAAAAATGCGCTTCATGCAGCTTTGTGCAGATTTTTAAACCTGGAGTAATGTCCCCCAAACTGTTAACAGCTATTATTATCCCTGGGGGCTGCAGTTGAAGGGCTGGGGTGACCAGGAAGTTCTACCCTCTGGATTATTGCATTTTACTGTAGTCTGTATGTATCACTCTGGAAATCAGAACAAAACACTGAAGATTTAGAATACCCCAAATAAATTAACCAAAACTAAATTCACTCATTGTTTCCTCCCAATAGTTCTAGGTCATTGGTATCACTTTTAAGCCCATTTTACAGGGAGAAAAACTGAGAATCTGAGACATGAAAAATTGTGCCCTACACATAGAAAATGGTTTGGCCAGGTTCAAACCTGGGCCTGGCTGGCTCCAGAACCCCACTCCAAGTAGGGCTCAGATCACATGCCAACTAGGACATGCCGTTGGTGGCTGCCCAGGCCACTGAGTTGAGCAGGATGCAGAAGTTGGGAAACTGTATTGGGATGAATTGCTCGTGTCTATCCTGGGCACGTCCCCACCACTGAGCTGGAGTAAGGATACTGCAGCTATAATAGCATGGATCATGTGTATTAAGCAACTGCCCCTGCCAGGGGTTCCTCTAAGTATTTCATGGTTATTTTCTCCTAGTGAATGAATGATTGTAGAGCAAAAGAATGAATGAAGATATGACCTCCTCTGTCTGCTTTCAGGAGACCATACACAGGAAGAGCCTGACCCCCTCTTGGAAATGCCTGTGAACTTCCCCCTGTTCCTGCAGCACCCCTTCCGAAGGCATCTCTGTTTCTCTGCAGCCACAGGGGAGGCACAGCGTGCCTGGAGGCTAGCCCTGCAGGGTGGCATCCGGCTTCGTGGCACAGGTGGGTCCTGGGGAAGGTCAGGCAGTGGTGGGGCTCAGGGTCTGGGGTCAGATGGCTCTGCCTCTGCTGGTTGTGGGACTCTCTTCAAGCCTCAGTTTCCTTATCTATAAAATGGATTGTCTATATGTCTATCTATATGTCTACATATCTGTCTATATGTCTATCTATAAAATGGGAGGAGACAGAGGGGATAGGGCTATGATGGGGACACAAGCCCTGTGGGAGATTAGCCTGGAAAATCAGGGAGGGCTTCTCAGAGGAAGGCATGTCGAAGCTGGAGTCTGAAAAAGATGCGGGGCCGGCCAGGTGAAGAAGGGGAACAGGACCAACACATATAGATGGGCAGGTTGTTGGCTGAACAAATGTACGTAACTGGAGAGGCAGTGGGACTACAGTTTGGCCTGGTCTGTAACTACCTACAGGGGATGCCTTTTCCTGCATCGTATGCATAAAGATTCTTTATGGGTCAATGGTGGTCTGGGGGGAGTGTTTTCCCTGTGGAGGGCATTTCTTGTAGAAAGGTCTGGGGGTGGGTGAGACCTGGGTGTTTGGGACCTGCTAAGGAGGCGGAGAGCTTCCTTTTGGGGAGATAGGGAGCCAGGCAGATGTAAGAGAACGGAAGACGTGGCACTGAGGAGCAGCACCCCTCAGTCTTGCAGCGAAGTCAGGCCCCAGCTGCCCTCGCCTTCCTGGACGCCATACGGCTTTACCGGCAGCACCAAGGCCACTTTGGCCATGACGACGTGACGCTGGGCTCGGACGCCGAGGTCAGTATCGCGCGAGGCTGCACCGGGACTCCCAGGAGCCCATTTGGCTTCCAGCAGCGCCCAAGGTACCTACCTCTCTTGCAGGTGCTGACCACAGTGCTGATGAGGGAGCTGCTTCCGGAGCTGCGAGCCCAGACCCTGCCCGGTTTGCGGGGGGCCGGCCGAGCCCGGGCCTGGGCCTGGACAGAGGTAAAAGCGGGGTCGTGGAGGTGGGGCAGGGACACGCGGGGGGGCCGCGGAGTGGGTGGAGCCGGACCCAGGTGCCCAGCTTCACCCTCCAGCAACTGTCGCCTAAACTTTGTCCCCATCTCTCTGCGTCTCCGTCTCTCTCTGTCCCTTCACCCCGCCCTATTTGCTCTCTCCTGCGCTCCTGGCCGGTGGGTTACCCTTGCGGGTCCCGGCAGCTCCTGGATGCCGTTGACGCCGTCGTCCTGGCTGCGGCCTCCGCGGGGCTCCGCGCCTTCCAGAACGAAAAGGACGAGCTGCTTGCGGCCCTAGAAAGGACGATCCGCCCGGACGTGGACCAGATGCTGCGGCAGCGGGCGCGCGTGGCAGGAAGGCTGCGTGGTGAGGCCCCGGGCAGTGGCCTGGAGGGGCGTGGCCTATATGGGGCGTAGCCTGACGGGCGGGGCCGGGAGCCTGAGAGGATGAAGGGGAACGGAGGAATATAAGGGGTGGGGCCTAGAATCCGGGACCCGAAGACCGGCAGGGGCAGGAGCGGGGAATGAAAGGGCTCGGTATGCGGGTGGGGGAATGGGCGTGGCTTTAAGGCTGAGACTCGAACGGGAGCGGGGTCAAGAAGGAGGGCTGGGTCGTGGAAAGGGGATCCTTCTAGAGATGGAGCGGGTGAGACTCGGTCTGGAGAGGGAAGGATGCGCTGATAGTGGCAGGTATGACCTGGGTTGTCCAGTCAGATGGCGGAGGTGGCTCCCGCTCTGCTCAGTTACAAAGAGAACCCGGCTGGAATCCGGACTCTGCCTCCCTGGCATGCGCCTTTAAACTAACCTCACCTCGCTCGAAGCCTCCGATTCTTACCTGTAAAATGGGGTATAGACGGTGCTCAGAGTCTGCGTTCCCATCCGTCTCACCCCGCCGAGCCCAGGGTCTCCCCGCCACCCCATTTGTGGAGCACCTTGCAGAGGAGACCCAGGCCAGTGTCTTCCACTCTCAGCCGAGGTCCAGGGCCCCCTAGAGTCGTGCCTGCACAGGAAGGTGGATGTGCAGCTGCCCCGGGTCACGCAAACGCTGCTGAACACAGTGGAAGCCGCGCTTGTGGCTGTGCAGGCCCTCCTAGCCCAAGGCATGGACCGCCTGTCTCGCCACCTGCGTGGGAAACCCTCGGGCGTGCGGTTGCGGAAAGAGGTGAGCCCTAGTGGGTGGAGGGGTTCATCGGGATCACGGCAGTGTGTTAACTTCATAGAAGAGTTCTGTGAATCTTGTATCTTGTTTGACAAACTTCTCTTTTGAAAAGCCTTCTCTGAACTATTTTCTAGGCTGCTTTTTATTTACTGTGGACCACCATGCTATGGTAATTGGGGCATAATTTTAAACTTGAGGGGAAAGGAGTAAGATGACAAGAGTAGGACTTTAAGTAACAGTAGTCTGGGGTCACCCCCCCAACTCTTTCTCCTCCCATTTCTCTGTTTAGCCAGAGTTCACCCTATCCCCTGAGCTAGAAAATTCTGTTCCATGCAGTCAACTCAGTTGTTATGATATTAAATGAGCACCTGCTATGTACCAGGAAATCTTCAACTCATTAAGCCTCCATTTCATAATCACCTCCTCTAGGAACTTTCCCTGGCCCCTCTGCAACTGCAACTGCCAGTGCCTCTCTCCTCATGGAGGCATTTACACACCACTGTGGTTGATTGTTTACAGTTTATCTCCCCCAACTTATCTGTGAGCTCCTTGAGGGCACAGATGGTGTTGGATTACTCTATTTTGCAGCCCTAGGGCCCAACACTGAGAGAGTATCAGCTGGTGAGCATAGATGCCACAAGGGCTGAGTTGTGCCCATTTCCTATCAATCATGCCAGCACTATGTATTATTATTTTTTCCAGGTTTTACCATTTTATGCCTACCATACCTCACTGTTACTCTGTGTGTGTGTGTGTGTGTGTGTGTGTGTGTGTGTATGATAATTGAGGTGGGATGTGTTTCCACTTGTGTTTCTCCTTTGATGAATTGGCTGTGAGGTGCCTTGGCCCTGGTTCTCCATCAGCTGATGATGTTTTTCTCACCCGACTGCCACTGGAACACAGGTTTACTCATTTGGGGAGATGCCATGGGACCCAGAGCTGATGCAGACCAGCTACCGAGAGGCTGAGAGGAGCCAGGGGCGCCTGAGGCAGCTGGTGGCACCGTTTGGCTTCCTTGGAACGCAAAGTGTGGTGTTTGGGGCTCAGGATCTTGCACAGCAGGTGAGGGTGAGTAGAAGGCTGGAAGAAGGGGAGGCAAGGACCGCAGCCTCCACTGAGCAGGTATGAAGTGTGTGCTGGGGTCTTCTCCCTTGCTGGGCTCCCAGTATCATGCAGACATGAGCGCATGACAAGGCAGTGACCACATGTGGTAGATAGGGCTGTGGTGGGGGTGCACAAGGTGCTATGGGAGTCCCAATGAGGTGCCTAATCCATCTCCAGGGCTGGGAGAGGAATTCCAAGCTGTGTCAGCAGCGGGAGGAAAAGGGAGTGGGACCTGTCCTGGATAGAGGGAACAGTGTGTGTAAGTGCTGGGAAGTGAGAGAGTTTGTCTGCCTTTGGGGAAAATGAAGCAATTTAGAAACACTGGGTAGTAGGTTTCAAGGGAGGACAGAAAGGTGGGAGATGTGCCAGTGAGGTAGGTGGGTAAATGGGTGAGGGCCCTGAGTATGGGGTTAAGAGTCTGGGATCAGTTCCAAAGGCAATGGGGAGCCACAGCAGGTGTGTGAGCAGAGTTGGGGCATGACCAAATTCAAGGTTAGGAAGCCCTGCCTGCCTTGGGGAGCAGGGGTTGATGGGGGTAGGTGTGGAGGAGGCCTGAACCAGGATGGGTGCTGTTGGTGGAGAGAAGTGGGGTGTGTTTTGAAGGCCAAAGAGAGGGGACCTGCTAATAGACATAGTGAGTGAAGGAGACAGGGATTGAGAAGGCCCAGTGCTGCCTGGCTGGCACAGTTGTTCAATTTGTACACTTTACAAGAGCATTCAGCCAAGGAGGCTGGACTCTGGCCGGCTCTCTTCTCCCCAGGCTGAGCACCCTGTCACCATCCTCTAGAGGGGAGGGTGCTTTCTGCCAGTTTGCATCTAGGTCCCCACTGACTGCATGATTCCTAGGTCCTCAGAGGAGGGTGTGCTATTTCTTGAGACAAGAAAGAGATTGGGGGGAAGTGGCTGGTAGGGACAGGTTGGATGCTGAGAAGGGGTCAGTTGGGCAGAAATAAGGCTGATAAGACCAGAGTGTGGATTCCCAGGGGCCATCCCAGTTCTTCCTCCCACAGCTCATGGCCGACGCTGTGACCACCTTCCTGCAGCTGGCTGACCAGTGTCTGACCACAGCCCTGGACTGCAACCAGGCTGCTCAGCAGCTGGAAAAAGTCAGGGGGCGTGTGCTGAAGGTGAGATCCATGGGGAGGGCACAGGCATGGGCCTGGGTGCCCAGATGGCTGCTGGACCAGCCGCTGTGTGTGTTGTGCAGAAGTTCCAGTCAGACAGTGGCTCAGCTCAGAAGAGATTCATCCGCAGGTGGCAGATCTGCATTTTTTTGCCATTTGTGCTGAGCCAGCTGGAGCCAAGCTGCAAAGCGGTGAGTGAATGGGGGAAAGGCAGGCAGGTCCTGTAGGGTGACCATGCGTTCATGTCTCTGTAAAATGGGCAGAGCACTCTTGCTCACAGAACCACGGTGACAATTAGAGACTTTTGTTCCCTAAGCTCTGGGGGCTCCTCTGGGCTCCCACAATGCCTTCTGCTTCTCCCATGACAGTGCCCAGTTTCTGCCAGCTGAGAGCTGGGATGGGGGTGAGGGAGCTATGCATCACGTACAAGCAGGTGACACAGGCTTCAGAAAAGGGATGAGGCAGAGAGAGAGAGAGAGAGAGAGAGAGAGAGAGAGAGAGAGAGAGAGAGAATGTGTGTGTGTGTGTGTGTGTATGTATATGTATGTGTAGGGGTGCCAGGTGGTCATGGAGGCTCTCCCTGAGAAGATGACACTTGAGAAGTAGCAAGCTGA